CTCTCTGTTGCTCTCGGCAGTTGTGGTAGTATTTTAAGGTTTTTTTGTTTCTTTGTTTCTTTTTGGGGGGCGCAAGAAGGTCGAGATGAGAAAATTTGGGAAGCATGGTTTGCTGATTTTAGGTTCTAATACCAACTGATATAGGACAAGGAGAGCTTAAAAACAAAACTTCGAAAATTTTATTAAGAATAAAATCTGGAGATTTTCGATCTCAATAAATAAAACAATATCTCAATATTTAAATAATAATTATAGGTAATCTACTTAAAAACTAAACTAGTAACCTCATTTATGGGCACCAAAAACATTCAAAATAGGAAATCTAGAACATCTAGTAATAGGAAAATAAGTTAAATAAAAAGAATTATAGAAATAAGAAATCTAAGAAATGGAAAAATAAATCTTTCTATTTTCTTATTTTAAAACTTTCCAATACATAGAAAATGAAATTAAATTCATATCCTTTTAGTTAACTTCCCAAAAATTTTATGTTCTTTTACTGGTTCTACCTCATATCTCCTATTACTGGAATATGCAAACTTTAGAAGCTTCCTATTCTGCATCAGAAATACTAATGGATGATGACATATAGTTAAATCACAAGAGTACCTATCAAAGAAAACATTTTTGCTGCAGGAGACTGGCTTGAAGGTGCAGAAAGTGCAAACCCACGAGGATCAAACATATAAAAATAGCCAGCAGAAGCAATTGACAGGAGATCACAAATGAAGTAACAACTAAACAGTCCAAGACCATAGTTGAGAGTCTCATCTCGAAGTCTCCATGGCGGAAGGAGCTGAAGACTGCTTACCTCCTCTATGCTCAAGCTGGCCCCTTCCATAATGGCAACTAGTGCTGGCCCTTGAAATTCACCTATATCAGAAGACAAGTTCAGAATGACTGTTCAATGCACTACAGGAAAAAAGCTAGACAATGAAGCAATCCAAATAATAAAAAATGAATTAATATCAAACAATAGATAAAGGACAAAATATTTTCACATAGACCCAAAAAGATGTTTACATTATATGTATATATATGTACATAATGAAAAAGAAGAACTCTATTGAAGAGACAAAGATGTTACAGAAGAGAAGGGGAAGATATGACATCCTACAATGATAGAAAGAAAATTAGAAAAACATACAGCAAGGATTGCAAGATGTTTAAGATAATAGGTGTGTGTATATACATGTGTGTATGTCCCAACTTATGTACATATACATCTAAACTCATACGTATGTATATATGTACTTGTGTGCGTAATTATGTATGTAATGTATCTATATATGTACTAAAATGGATGACATACGTATGCATCTAGATATGTAAGAGTGTATTATTTCACAAAATAAGTTATTTTATTAAAGATAAAGGACTTTAACAAAGAGAAGAGACAAGATATCCTCTAATCACCCAAAAAAAAGGCAAAAAAAGAAGCAGCAAAATAATACAAAAATAGAGATCCAACCCCTTTGTAGAGTAGATAAAATAAAATTTATGCATCCATTTGGGGCAACTGTTAGTTTTAACTTTTGCATTTCAAAAATACTTTTACAACCAAACAGGAAAGATAAAAAGTGTTTTTTGCAAAAATCAATGCCAAAATCTACTTTTATTAGGTCTAAATGAAAACTACATTTGAAACTTCAAAAAATAGTTTTGATTTTTAAAAGCTACAATTTGAAACTCTTTTAAAACCCATAAGTTACAGCAGTCCTAAACACTAACTTGAAAAGAAAGATTTTCACATAAATTTGTATCGTATGTTTCAACTTTCAAGAATACAATGTATACACAATTCCATTCTAAAGGAAAGGAAACTAGCAATCCGAGAAGCTAAGGCAAAAAGGCTGATACATACAAAATAAGGAAAGAATACATCAACTATCCTTAAAAGAGTAATTTGGCAACAAATTACCATTTAATACTGGATACCAAATCACCTTTTAATACTGGGTATCAAATCACACTTTGTTACGAAGGACTCCAATAAAGACCATCTAATATTTGGTATCAAATCACCTTGCAATATTCGGTATCAAATCACACTTTATTACCAACAATTCGAAGATAAAGGCATCCTCTAAAAGAAACATGGGCAAAGAAGATGATCTTTCTAAACAATTGAAGGCAACTGAAAATCAGTGCTTAAAAATTCTTGCATTCATTCCAACCAAATGACCTAAAGTCCAGCAAACACCCCTCAGCCGCCCATAACATCTAATGATCCCCGTCCTCCCTATTCAACACATTGCAGTAGTGATCCAAGTTAGGTCAAGATACTCTTGCACAACCCCAAACATAGAAAACAATCTATTTCACAACTTTCACACCATACAACAGTGAAGACCTAGATGATAATTTCCCAGTGAACAATAAAAACACATCAAACAACTGTTGGAGCTTTATGAGATCTCCACTTCAAAAAAAGTCATTTGTTATGAAAGCTCCAACCTTGAAGAGTGTTTTCACCTTCAAAAAATTATAAGAAAAAAGTTTGATGTGGATATAATGGTTGTCAATACAATACTTAGCAACCTGGAAAAAGAAATTTTTATCCAAAGGGAGAAGGCTTACTCTCATCAAGAGCACACTCTCCAACTTGCCTATTTATTATCTTTCGGTGTTCAATATTCCAACTAAGGTCGTGAAAAAATTAGAAACAATACAATGCAACTTCATACGGGGAGATGTGGATAGTGAAAGGAAAAAATGCCACCTTTTCAACTGAACTGAAGTCAAAAAACGGGTGTGGGATGGCAGTTTGGGACTGAGAACTCTTGTCAAATTAAACAAAACTCTCCTTGGGAAATGGATTTGGAGATACTGGAATGAAAAAGAATGTCTATGGAAAAAGGTTATTGATTGCAAATGGTTTCGTGGTGATCAAAGGAACTTATCACATATCAAAAAATATAAATATGGCATAAGTCACTGGAAGAACATCATGAATATCTGCCCAGCTTTTCTAAATTGTACTGTCTTGGATCATTGGAAATGGTTACAAAGTTCAATTTTGGAACGACATTTGGTGCGGGTCAGCGTCTCTCAAGACAGATTTCCACAAATTTATGCCATCTCTAGCTTCAAAAATGCTCTTGTTGGAGATGTTGTCCCTCCTAGCAGCCTTGACAGTTGGAATGTTACTGTAATGAGGAATTTACATGATTGAGAAATTGAAGAATATGAAGCTTTCCTTCTAACTTTGTCACACACTCAACTAAAACATCAAGATGACAAGTTGCGCTGGAAATATAAGAGTAACGGCCAATTCACTGTCAGTTCATTTTATGATTTTTTGGATGACCGAATAAATTGCAATCAAAAAAGTTCCCAGCCAAAATCATCTGGAAATCGGGTGCCTCACCCGGGATATCTTTTTCACATGGAAAGCAGTTAAGAAAAAAATTCTAACTTTGGATAATCTCATGAAAAGAGGAATACCCATTGCAAACAGATGTTACCTTTGTAAAATGGGTCTGGAATCATGCAACCATCTTCTTCATTGGTGCCCAATCTCTCACAAACTTTAGACAATGGTTCTTGGCCTACTGGGGCTATGTTGGGTCACGGCAAACACTGTCTCCGGTGAATTATTTTGGGAAGGTATCGGCAAAAGAAATAAGTTTTTCAAACTCATCCCTCTCACTATATTTTAAATCATTTGGAAAGAAAGAAACAAGCGTGTTTTTTATGGAAAAAAACTTGACATCAATACCTTAAAAGACATTGGTTCCATTATTTTGGTACTACTATAATAGGACACGATATTGATAGTAAGAAATTTTTTAGAAAAAATAAATTTTTAATTTTTATTACTTATATTTTGTTTACATTTAAAAAATATATATAAACTGGTTATTTTTATTTTATTTAAACTCTAATTATAAGATATAATTATACTATTAGAACTCTAACTAATATAATATTCTATTTAGCATAAAATCCTTATCAACACTCCCTCTCAAATTGGCGTAAAAATATCACACATGCCTAACTTGCAAATTAGGTTCTGAAGAGATTTGTTGCATAGTCATTTACTAAAAATGTCAACCACCTGATTACCATAAGATACATAATATAAGCATAGAGAGTCAACAACCACCTTCTCTTTTATGAAATGTCGATCAATATCAATGTGTTTTCTCATGTCATATTGAACTGGATTATGAGCAATGTTAATTGCTGCTTTATTATCACAAAACAGGGATAGTTTCTCATCTTCAAATAGTTTTAACTCCTTCATTAGCTTTTGCAAGCATAGTACTTCACATATTCAAGTACTCTTTCGGTCATTGCTCTATATTCTGCCTCAGTACTGGAGCGAGCAACCACACTTTGTTTCTTACTTTTCCATGCGACTAAGTTGCCTCCTACAAGTGTGCAGTAACCTATAGTTGATCTTCTATTATTTAGGGATCTAACACAATCAACATCTGTAAATGCTTCTATTTTAAAGTGACCATAGTTAGAAAAGAGCAGACCTTTTCCTGATGTAGATTTCAGGTATCGTAATATGCGGAATACAGCATGTAAATGAGTCTCACGAGAATCATGCATGTACTGCCTTACAAGACTAACTACATATGCTATATCAGATCTGGTATGTGAGAGATAAATGAGTTTTTCAACAAGTCTCTAGTATCTTCCCTCAACTGATGTATCACTACTTGCTTGTAATTTGTGGTTACTCTCAATAAGTGATTCTGTCGGTTTGCAATCCATCATACCAGTCTCTTCTAGTAAGTTTAGAATATACTTCTTTTGAGAAATGAAAATCCTTTTATTGGATCTGACAACTTCAATCCCAAGAAATATTGTAATTTCCTAAATCTTTTATTTCAAACTCTTAAACAAGAAGTTTTTTCAACCGAACCATCTCTTTTGTATCATCTCCAGTCATCACAATATCATCCACATAAATAATAAGAAGAGTGACCTTACCCTCACGATATTTGATAAATAAGATATGATCCGCATTGTTTTATTTATATCCAAAAGAGATCATAACTCTTCTAAACCGTTCAAACCATACTCTTGAAGACTGCTTCAATCCATATAAGGCTTTTTTTAATTGGTGAACTTTTCTTTGCGTCCTCTCATATTCAAATCCAAGTGAAACATGTACACCTCTTCCTCTAAGTCTCCATGGAAAAATGCATTTTTTACATCAAACTGCTGTAAATCTAAATCAAGATTAGCTACGCAAGACAAAAATATCCTAATTGTGTTTATCTTCACAACACGTGCAAATGTCTCCTGATAGTCAATCTCATAGGTGTGAGTAAATCCTTTAGCCACCAATTTAACTTTGTACCTTTCGATTGATCCGTTTTCTTTGTGTTTTACGGTGAATACCCATTTGTAACTATCTTCTTTCCATGTGGAGGTGAAACAAATTCTTATGTTTCATTCTTTCTCAGTGCTCTCATTTCTTCAATCATGTCTTTCTTCCACTTGAGATCTCCTAGAGTTTCTCTTCAATCCTGTGGAATAGACACAGAGAAAACAGATAAAAAATAAATCCTATAGAAGGGAGATAGAGAGTCGTAATAAACAAAATTAGATATAGGGTGTTTAGTGCAAGTTCTCGTTCTCTTTCAAATACCAATAGGTTTATCTGATAAATCACGAGAAATATATCTTTTCAAGTCTGATTTATCTATATGTACAGCATTATCTTCTTGACTAAAACTTTCTGTAATAGAATTCTCCTCCTAAAGATGATTCTTAATTGTTACCCAATTAGGTTGATCTTCCTTCTCAATCTCCCCCTGCAGAGATGTTGGATTTAAGTTGAACTAAGACCCATTCTCCCTAAAGGTAACATCCATAATTACAAAATATTTTATAAATGGTGGATGATAAGA